GCCTTGGTTTATGTTACAAAAATGGAATTGGAGTAGAAAGAGATATTCAAAAGGCTATTGAATTGTTCCAAAAAGCAGCTGAACGAAGACATGCATATGGACAATATAATCTTGGTTGGTGCTATGAGGAGGGAGTTGGAGTAATACAAGATGAAAAAAAAGCCATTGAATTATATGAAAAAGCTGCTGAGCAAGGGTACATTAAGGCACAGAATAAGGTTTATTTCTTTAAATATAATAGTAAATCTAAACTGAAAAGAAAGATACAAGAATTAGCTGAAATCTATCCAGCCCAAAAAAGAACAAAATTGGGATAAAAAGATCTTAGAAACAAGTGATTTTTTTTATAGTAGGTAAAATTGTAGCCATGATAATGAAGGCCCTTGGTTTACTTGCAAGCTTGATAATTTGTTGACAATGTTGAAAGTCTATAAACTGGTAATAAATCATATGTAATGCACAAGAAAATCTGTAATTTTCAAAATTGTTAGAACTAGTCTTTTATGATTAATTTCAGCAGAAGTCATATTACAGTGACTTATGAAACCAGTTCTATGTTTACAATTATTGAATTTAAAGCCTTATAATAGTAACTCTATTCAACCAATTTGTATGATATTTAACTGAAGATAAACTGTTTCTGGCTTTCAGAACATGTTTATTTATTCAACGAAACTTATTATTTTAGTAGATGATTTTTTAGTGCATTGAGCTGGTTTTCTAACCTATTAATTAGCGTATGTACCTGTATCATGTAACACGTGTATCCAACTCGATACCAAAAACACATGCTATTGCCTGATAAAATTACGCATTAGCATAGGGTTTCTTGTTAACGCGTGTCAAAGCTCATTACTATGTTGACGTTAGCTACAAACGCGTTGTAGAGATTATGTTGGGAATTAGGTAAAGATCTTTACATTTTAACGTCATTGCCTGTTTATTAATGTAACCTTTCGTGGAGACTTGTTATAAAATGCGCAAGTTAATAAAAATACACGTTACTGTACCCACATCGAATAACGATAATAAAATTGTTGTGTCGAGCGTTGGTATAACAAATAAACCCATCTGCAAGAGCTCTGGTTCGAAGAACAAGACATCTTTTATGAACATGCAAGCAATGGTCAAAAAGACATTCCCTTTTAACAGGTTTATCATTGCTTTGGTAGTGTCTGTATTTAGCAAGCACAGAAAGCTACTATACTCCCAAAGTACTAAAAGCGAATTTATAGCCTGCGTTTTCGCGTCGAAAACCATAATTAGATCATCTTATTGTCTGACCAATCAGCCTTGAACAGCGCGTTAATTATATCGAACATTTGTAGTGTAGTGCTTATGTACTAGTACGTTTTTACCTTCTTAATTAACAATGCCTCCACATAAAGAGAGTTCCCTTTTAACTTCCTTCTTTCTTGATAACGAACTTCAAGATAGCTTAACATTGCTCCAGTTTACGAACTCGTTTCCAGCAGCTCACAGGTAGATTGCACGTTAATGCGCCGTGAATATAAGAATAATATATGACACCTTGCCCACTTTTCTTTTCATTTCAATAGAGATAACCCTCAAATTAAAAAACTTTATAAAGAACTCCAGGCGTCTCGTAGAGAGATACGCAGCATTGTTAAAAAGAATATAGAAGAAGAATGTGAGAGAGCAAGCTATCCTAGATCTAACAATAATGGAGACGCAGAAAATAGTGAATACGAACAAATGGATGTTGACTATGATGGCTCATCCGGAGAGGAAGTCAGTGTCTCATATTTACTATAGGGGGAAAAAAAAACTGATGTAAATTGTGTTCTATATCTCAATGATTTGTTCAATCAGGTGGATTCAGAAGCACTGGATGCCTTTGACGATGATGACGAGAAACATCGTCGCCTCACGCTAGATCAAGCGATTGAGACATTAGCTAACGCAGAAACCATATTAACAACTGATATCAATCGAATGGAGCAAGAATGCGGAGAATGGCTAAAGACATTTGAGGCGTACATATTATACTCCCCCCCCCTCTCCCGCCGCCGCTCTCGCACGTTGTTTGTAGTTTTTTTTTTGAATTCAAATACATTTTGTTTTTTTCGTAGGTTAAACGAGGAAATGTCTGACTTGATATACGGCCGAGTAACAAAGGACAGTGTTAGCGGATTGAAGGTTATAGCAGATCTCAGGGTAATATAGGACGTTGATTTCTAGTTTTGTAATCGTGATTAAAAACATCAGCTTATGGCATTTACGATCATAGGAGTTGATCTATTATTGTGAGAGGACAGCACCTGGTTCAAGGAAGAGAAAATCAAAATCTTGATGATTTAAGACACCGCTCAAAGTACGAGCGCGAAATTCATCATTGGTTGTATTATTTTATACATTCTCGAAAACTAATGGATTGATGTAAGTAATCGATAACAGGAACAAAGGTGTAATTTCATAATTAAGGGGGGCTGCTAAGTGTCTCTAGTGAAAGGTTTGTGAATTAAGGGAGTTGATGGTAATGCGAATGTAATGAAAAATGTTGGAACTTGATGACATCTAATTTACACAAGTCGAAAGGGAAACAATTAAATAGTAACAATTATCTAAAATTCATCTTTAACATAATTTCCTGGATAAACAGAATAATTATTTCGTTAGGATCACTCCATAATCAAAAAACATTATTACAATAATTTCTCTATACTTACCGGGAAATTCTCCAACTTGTCCATTGAGCCGTCCAATCCACCACGAATTATCTCCGTTACCCTTCTCGAGTACTTCAATGATATCTCCTTTCTTAAAAGACAAATCGTTTTTTCGTACTGCTTTAAAGTCAAACAAAGCTATTACACAATCTTTATATAAAACTCCCGTATTAGCACCAGCGAGAGCCGGTCCAGATTCATTAACCGCGACTGCAGCACGTTTTCGACGATACCAAATGAATCCAAACACGCATAGCGCTGCGAATGCAGCAAGCAAGAAGGTTATTGCCATCGCTGTACCAGCACCGATCTTTTTAGGTTTTGGAGATTCGTTGTTGCCAGAAGAAGAATCCGCAGCAGGGACACCGTTAGGATTGTAAGCTGCAGTCGCACTGCAGTCGTTGGTTGGCGCGGCGGAGGAAGGTTGTTTTAGTGATTGAACGACGTTCAAAAGTTCTTTCCCATTATCAGTAGTAAGCTCCCATATCATCATTCCCCGAAGATTTTGTGACTTTACATATTCGGTTTTAATATACAGAGACTGAGGGTCATCGTAAGAGATGTACGTCTTTGTTTCAGTATTGAACAACCATGGAGTATTGGTCACGTTATCAAAATTTCGCGTCCATGGTGTGTTTTTAGCAACTGACATGGTACATTCCAGCAATCCTTGCTGTCTCAAATTCTTCCATGTCCAAACACCGGAATAAGTTTGGCTCGCTCCTGGACACGGTTCGGCCCAAAGTGCGTCATCTTGATCGCCTTTGGGAACTGTCAAGTCACGTCCAACGTATTGTGAATCTGACATTTGATCGGTTGCTGTCATTGCGTGACCGATGAATTCGACTCCCATGACTATTTTGGAAGCAGGCATGCCGGATTTGAGCCATGTGTTTGCAGATTGAGTAAAGGACAGCTGGCGGCCTTGTCCAGCTGTAACGTTAAATGGAGCGTTGGGACCTGTTATCTTTGTCCAAGGTTCGTTCGAATGATCATCCACTGCCATGTCATAAGCCTGAATAAGGTGATGAAGAGAGAGCATTGTTAGCTGGATTATGAACGCCCAAGATGACATATAACCTATAGAATGCATTAAAGTCCTGTAACTCACCATAACATTAACCCAATCAACAACCGAGGCAAATCCACTCACGTCCGGGATGGGTCCGTTTGGTCCATCAAACGTTTCCGCTCTAGCCGCGATAGTTAATAATTTGTTCCCCACAGCTGCGCGTAACTCTTTCAATAAAGTTAAAAAGTTACTGGTATCGTTTTGTGGATTAACTACATTACATATCGCGCCTTTTCTTCCCGGGTATTCCCAGTCAATATCGACCTTTTAGTAAAGTAGATTTGCATTGAGTCTTTAGGAACAACGTATGCTGAACATGATTAAACATTTACACTCCTCCTGCAGGAATTCCTATCGGTCAATTAGTAAAACATATGAATAATCTTTCTTTCGAAGGTCGTTATTGTCCGTGTTTACGATGCAAGTAACAACGATTTAGAGCTAATTGATTGTACTTGTCGAAAATAATGATAATACGTTAACGTACATTATTTCTATTAATGGAGTCGCAATGTATAGGAAAATATTGGTTATATAACGTGTAACCTATCTACTGACACTTTATCGAACTGTAGCGTTGTATCAATAATCTATCTTAAATTATCCAGAAAGTACAATCAATTAGCTTCAAAAGGATACAAGATTTTCATACGTTTTACTAGTTGATTGACAGAGATTCTTAAGGAAAGTGTATAAATATTTTTAGTCATCTTACCCCATCCAAATTATATTGGTTAATTAGCGACATGGTAGAATTGATAAATACTGCACGCGACTCTGGACTTTCGGCCATTGAACTGAATGTTTTACTGCCAGTCCAGCCTCCAATTGCGAGAAGGACCTGTTTTGACGCGGACACCGCGATTAAAAAAGATGATAATGGATAAAAAGACGAAATTCAAAGTCAAATTCAGTTACCTTGACATTGAATGTATGCGCATACCAAACGAGCGTATTCAGGTTGGGTCCGGTTTTTATGACGGGACTGAACGAGTCGTCCATTAATGCAAAAGCTATTAATTTGGAATTCTTTTAGTAAGCGCCCATTGACAACTACAAATACACCGATGCCCGTAAATTTGACCCTTACCATAATTTATATGTGTTAGTTTGTCCCAGAATAAATTATTAACGGCCAACTGTGCTGTTCTCCAGTCAGGATAATAGCCGACAATCACTCTATCGTCATTCGATATCGGCGAGGTTGAAGGAGAGGGTGACGGTGCGGGTGTGGGTGTGGGTGTGGGTGAAGCGGGTGCGGGTGTGGGTGAAACGGAGGTAGGTGTGGGTGAAGTGGAGGTAGGTGTGGGTGAAGCAGAAGCGGGTGAAGCGGAAGCGGGTGCAGGTAAAGCGGAAGTGGGTGCAGGTAAAGCGGAAGTGGGTATAGTTGCAGAATCTATCGGTGCAACTACTCCGTACCCTTCAATTATTTTATATGCTAGCGTACTGTGAAGGGAAGTAGATACCATGCATAGGATGAGTAACCAAGTCAGTTCTCTTCGAAATATAGCATAAACGCAAGCCATGTTATTGATATGGAAAAAGGAATAGACATGTATGTCGATAAGGTGTCCGTTTCACCCTCTCCTTATCTAAAGAAATGGAGGAGGGAAGGAGTGTAAACGAGAGTGAATGTCTTACTGACTAGAGTGAGAATTGATTGTTGTCAACGTAAAATTCGAAGCTTCGAACAAGACTTAAAAATGTCATAAAGTCGATCCATGCCAAATTTGAATAGCTGCCCACGAGATATTAAAATTGGGTTACTGGTTGCGTACACATTATCAAACATTCTGCAACATTATTATGGTATAGTACACAACACCTAAAAAGTCGCCAATAGCAAAATAACCCGAAATTTTGAAGATCTTACTGGATACGAGTGAAATGATATTCATTATTACTGTGTTATGCAACCTTCAACGTTGTTAAATGAGACTTTGATTTTGACCTTTAATTCTATTGGTTAGCATTAAATGGCGAATAAAAAATATTATTGTCAGGAAACACACCAAACGCGCCAGTGCCGCCAATAGCACCATTGGAAAATAAGAATGTTTTAATTTAAAATACTAGACATGCATTGAAAGTGTAACAATGGTTTATTATAAACAGGGGTAGAATATCAACATGTTTCTATCTTCAATGCTCTTATATCTTTTACTTCTAACATTTTAATATACGTATTGTTCCGATTAATCGAAATAGTCTGAAACAAAGTCTCAAATACTCAAGCCTTTATGAACATAATTGAGATAGAAAAAACAACGAATATACAATTGGACAGGAGACTTATTCATTATAGTATCTTGCCTACCACTACTGTAACTTACGATTTCAGGAGACGTCGGAATGTACGTGAGCATCTGCATTAACAAACTATTATTTAGAATTTAGGACCCAACTTATTGTAAACGTATTAAGTATGTGAGCTAGAAACCCATAATAATAGGCATCAACTATCAGCAAACGTTAAGGCTGCGTATAAAGCAAGGTTGTTCGACAATTTGCTCTCCGATATTAGCTGTGACGACACTAATTCACGAAACGCATCATCAGAAAAAAAACATAATAATTTAAAATTAGTAGTCGGTAAAAACCTTGCTGAGTTTTGTATGCTTATACTTGACATGAGAATACCATCAAACAAACATACAATATTACAAGGTAAGGACCCTTATTTGAACTTGCGTTTTTCAATTTCGTAATACAGGCAACACCCCTAATATCAACCACGTTAACATCAACCTCTCTCTAATGGGTCTGCCGACAATCAGCTACCAAAAAAGGATGACTTCGAAATAATGTTGGCGAAATGATTGTCGGTGAAATGATTGTCCTACTAAAAGTAATTGACCAATACTGTTAGCTTGTCGAGCCGATAGTCATTGGAGAGTAAATAACTATCGATCGTTATTCCAGCGAGATTTGGCAACCTCTACTCCTGCCAAAAAAGGGCTCAACGGGTTGAATGCCTTTAACGCTCATGATGCAATGAGCCATGCACTTCCAAGTGTCTTACTACACACAGCAATTACTTACTGTGGCAAACTGTAAGCATCGATTGTTCAAGAATAGTTTCCAGATGCACAGCATTCAATTCGAAAATCAAGCCACTTTTTCGCTTCCCAAAAATTGTTTGCGCTATTAAGCTTGTCAGTTTATCAGGTAAAGATACCAACAGAAAAAAAGTATAAAAATAAAAAATAAAAAATCAATTATAGTTTATTATTGACACAATACTATCTCAAATAAGATAAATAAAAAGGACAACGGCATTTATTTTTATCTTAAAGCTTCTTTATTCTAAAAACAACCTCCATCATTACTGATCCCTGATCAATAAATGATTGCTATAATGTACATAATTTCTATTACATACGAAACTTATAATAACAAAACCGTTCAAAGAGGCTCTACCATTCAAAGAGTCAATACGATCAACTTTACGCTTACACACCCGAAGACAATTTAATAGAGGGAGACAATACGTTATCTGAAGTCAACACAGCAAGTTCAAGAGAATAGAATATACTAAATCTCAAGAATTTACTGCCACTTGAAGACGATTCTTTTAACGTTATAATACGAGCATTCGATTACAAATAGAAGAAGATTATACTCTCGTCTCGAAACCAATCGCACACTTAATCGGATCATAGAAGTAAAATTATATTTGTGTTTCAACAGTGTTAATCCATCCTCTTAATTATCGCTTAAAGGACGGCATTGTCAAATCAAAAAAAAAAATTTTTTTCCTTAGGTCCATGCAACTGGAATTTCATTTTAATTTTAATTTTAATTTTATATACTGTATATATTAGAAAGGCAATTATATTGTGAGCTGTTAGAATTTCAATTCCTTAGAGAAGCAATAATAAACAAATTGGCCAAACTAATGGGAAATCAGACATAGAAAACTCGCCAAGAACAATCTGCGCGAGCACCACCTTCTTGTGACTCACTTAACAATGTATCTAAACAAAAAAGCACAAAAATTAACAACGTGTCTCGCTAGTAGACACTCACACTGACTCGAAGACAAAGAAGTTGTTATGATTGAAAAAGATGTTTAACCAGAATAAGACGAATAAGAAACAGAAAACAAAATAAGTAAAAGTTTATTACCCACTTTACTTGTAGTAATCCTATTGTATTACAATAAATTACATGAGTCACATATTTTTATGGGAGGCAATCATTTCATCGACAATCATTTCATCGACAATCATTTCACCGACAAATATTCACCAACATTATTTCGAAGTTATCCTTTTTTGGTAGTTAATTGTCGGTGAAATGTACTGTCGGTGAAATGATTGTCGATGAAATAATACGGACCCTATTTTTATATACTAACTATGAGCGAAAAAAAAAAAAAAAATAAAAATAAAAATAAAAAAATTTTTTTAATAAAGTCCAATCAAATATTGCAAGTATAGCAGCATCTTTGGCCAACTTGCAACCTCGTCGAAATTTTGAAGAAGCAAATAGTCTATATCAGGACCAATGACATGCCGATGTATTGTTCCCGAATACGTCAAAGTGTCCAGTAGGAGCAACATTCTACGGTATGGCATTTATTCTTCCCATTATTTCTTTGTCAACCACGAAGATAATAATGCGACATGTTATTTTATCGAAATATTATTTCCCAATTATCATGGGATGAAAAGCAGCACTTATCAATCACCTGATTCGTTACTTGCATTACAACAACGCACATTGTATCAAATCAACCAGTCAATTTTTAACACCCTATCAGTCAACAGTGACGAGTGGCTAATCGCTGAAGCTACTGATTTTCAAGAAGGGGATACACAACTTTCGCAAAGCAAAAACGAGCTTGCTGGGTGATGTTTTTAAACAATTCGCTTATGGAATATGGCATGGGTAGTAACAGACATAGATAAATATGTTCAAGCCGCATTCTGTGTTTACGGTGCTACCCACAAGTGGATAACTAAACAAGCGGCATACTGGTGGTCAACGAGCTTCAATTTCCATTGCAAACCTATTTTTTTAACGGTTTACAAGACACAAGGTCTCACGCTACCTTGCGTCTTCTTAGCATTTATGTTGCCTTGAGTAAATGTTCTAAATCGGAGCCTGTCCGAATTATGAGCGTGCACAGAGAAATAACTAAAGAATACGATTAGTCAGCTCTCTATATACTCACGTATTAATCGATTTGAACGATCAATAATAAATTATAAAATATTATGAATAAAATAAATAAACAATACAATGCGTAATATACGCTGCCGTATTAATACAGTACAAGACCCTTCGATAAATCCGTATCATAATAAACATGAATGTATGCTAAATAAAATATAATACTATTGATTTATTATGTCAAGCTTGCCCGACGAAGCCGGGGTGGACACAATTAAACTTCTAGTTAATGGATGATATATTACGTTACTATAAAAATGCTGCAACCTAATAGTGACCGAAAATAAAACAATGTTGGATGGAAGTCTATTTTTAGCACTGGGCGTTAATGTAATAAGCCCTTATAATAATTAACCGAGGATACTTTGTAACGCCTTCAACGGAAGCGCATTTTCATGCCACCCCGAAAGAGACTATTACTATATATTAAACGATATGATATTTGCCACAATAATGTACAGTAGTTTTTACTGTTAGAATGAAGGAACAATACTAATACTAATGTAGAGCAAGTGTAATAATAAATTAATTAAAATTTTAGCTTGTATGTTAATATTGTGTATTAGTAATTCATATTTAATTGTCACGGCTGATGCTGAAACCATGACCTTTCATCGGTTGATCAGATTTTATTCTCTAATCCCATTGGTTAGTTTCGGCTTTCAGTATCATGTGAGACCTAAATTGTATTGATTGGTTGGCTGTACATCGTGTGACATTTAACATACCATAACAAGTTTAACAATTATACCATTGAGCAAGTCGGCTTGTTTATATCGATTTTGCAAAGATGGCAGAGGCTATAGTAAGTTAATTCACACCTC